TCAAGAGAAGGGAGGAATGAACTCTCTGACGATAAAGACTTAATTGTCACGTTGTTTCAGATTTTATTAAACCAATTTTTCATTTAGTCTAAAAAAGTCAGGTGTAAAATAAGAGCACTAATGACAAAAATAATTTAAGGAATCTTTTAATTAATTAATTTATTTTTAAATGCTGACTCCTATCTTGTCAGCATGCGTTGTTGCTGCAAGGGGTGGGTGATTTTTAGTCCTCATCATGGTATGAAAAAGGTTTTCGGTTAATTATAAGTACATTTTTACATTTTGTCATCCAGATATCCGTGAATTAAGACAAAAATTTCTTAAAGATTTATTAAATATCTAATATATGAATTAAATTCATGTAATTCATCAATTTATGGATGGAATGGTCATTTATTCATTCATCTTAAAAAGATTAAAACATAAGGCACAGTCTTGTTAACTGCCGCAAATTTAGTAAGGGGTGATGGTTGGATGGGCGCAGGCGTGGTTAAAGAAATATTAAAGCATTTCGCAGTGGTTAGAAAGGTGGACAAGGATGGCTTATCTGGTCTGCACAGGGCTTGTTTAAGCGGCCATTTCGACGTGGTAAGGTTTCTGTTGCGTCGTGGTATTGGAATGGCTCGCAAATTCACAAACTCTGGGTATACGCCCTTGCACTTGGCTGCGATCAACGGACACACCCACATTCTTCAACTATTTGAGCAGTATAATCGTTTCTTGTTTGTGGATCGTACGCAACAGGGAGACCCAATTCTTCATGTCACCATTCGGTATAACCACTTCAATACCTTTCTCCACTGCGCTCAACTCTTCCATGATGATGAATCATTCATCCATTCTGTTGACCGACATGGGAATACTGTTTTACATGTTGCAGCAGAGTATGGACGAGTAAAGGTTACAAAAATCCTCACCCTTTCTCTGCTATTACATATGTTTAGTCTAGTTTCTAATTATATGTTTCTGATCACGTGGTTTGCCAGCCTTTTTTAATAAAATTTTTTGCAGTTTGTAAAACATTTGATCAATAAAATGAGAATGCCGATAAATCGTCACAACACGGAAGGGCTGACACCCCTTGACATGCTCGACAACATTGCTGCTACTGATATTAAGAAGCTCCAAATTCTTGAAGACATGTTGAAAAATGTCGGCGGAAAGAGAAAAATAGAACTTACGAATTCGACTATTCCAACTAGCAACAAAGGGGAATTGGTTCAGGAATGGGTTCATTCTTTGGATCCAAATTTGTTCGAGGAGGATGGTTTGCAGAAGACTGACTTAGATCATAATGAGAAGGAAGAAGATAAGATTGACCATGAAAATTTGGGGAGCAATAATGTTATCCGTGCTAACGATGAACAAGATGATCAAGAAGAGAACAAAGACGAGTATGTGGTTTCAAACAACTTGGAGAGGCAAGAGCATCTTAGTCAAAAGCGGCGGAAAGTGCTCATCAGCAAAATGGATGAGTACCATTCTCGACGCGAAAAGCAACACGATATGTATAAGGAGGCATTGCAAAATGCAAGAAACACAGTTACTTTAGTTGCAGCTTTGATTGCTACAGTTTGTTTTTCTGCGGGCATAAGTCCCCCTGGTGGGGTTTACCAAGCTGGCCCATTGATTGGGAAAGCAGTATTCGGCAAAACAAAAGGCTACAAGGTATTCGTAATAAGCAACAGCATTGCAATGGCAACATCTCTATGTATTATGATCGTTTTAGTGAGCATCATTCCTTTCAAAAAAAGACTGCTGCTGCGGCTTCTTAAGATTACCCATAAACTGTTGTGGGTGTCTCTAGCGTTCATGGCCACGGCTTTCACGTCGGCTACATGGCTCATCTTGCCTCAAGATTATAGGACACATTGGCTTCCGAATGTGATACTGGCGGTGGTGGGAGGTATTATGGGAGCACTATTCATATATTTGGGAGTAGAGTTGGTAAAACATTGGATGAGGAAGCTCAAGTTCAGAAGGGAGAGAGTCACAAAGCCAATTGTTCCGGTCAGCAGTAATTCTGACCATCAATCCACAGATGATCTATCGTCTGGTAAAGCTGAGTTAGACATAGAGCGACGTGATCTAAGTAGACTCTATTCATTTTCTACTAATTCCGATGTTGCCAGTTCCAGAGGTCACGGTGGTCACGTATATTAAAGACATGTTTGTGAACGAGTGATTTTTGTGAGAGTGATTTAATTATAAATAATTTTGTAAAACCTTTAATAGAAAAGTTATTTAAATATTTGATACCGCTGAGCTATATTAATGTTTTATTTGAAAAATGATTTTAGAATAATCAAGTTATTCAAAATTAAAACTAAAACGAATATAACTCAGCGGTGATCGACATATATGTCTAATCAAGGGTTGTGAGTTGGATCCCTACCCCTAGTATATATAAAAAAATAGTTATTCAAAATTAGCTGCCAAATAATGATTCTTTTCTTAAGCGGTTGTTAATTATTTCACAAAAAAATTACCACCGCAAATTATTTATAGGAAATCACATTGAAGTAATTTTAAATTTTTTTGAAGTCATTTCTTCACCGTTGTAAAATATTACAATTTTGAAATGGAAGTAATTTTCACCATTGAAGCTCCGAAATTAAATGGGAGATACCATTTTCAGGTTGTGAGTTGTGGACAGCCTTTTTTTTATTTGATTAAATTAATCCAAGAACGACCATCCCTACTTTCTGAGGTTGATCTCTATTAAAAAAATTGACAACTTATTAATTTGAAAAAAGAAATCTATATTTTTTATTTTTCTATATTAGTTGTCAAACATTTAATTATAGTGCACTTCTCATCGTTGAATGAAATTTCGAAGACCAAAGATAATGACTTTGCTTTTGGATTCATCGAAAAGGCCTCACACCAATGGAGATAATTGTCATCTCTTATATACCCATGATCATTTCCTTACCTAGTCAATATAAACTTTGTTTGCAATCACCTCACAAACCCAACACCTATTTTAATATATCAATTTGTTATTTTCATTTTTTTAATATCTTCTCGACTTTCTTTTCTAATTTCTCATACTTTTATATAATAAATAAATTTGGTATGAATCTCTCTCTCCTTTTCCCTTGAGTTTAATTAACCTTGCTGTGGATCACCCTGTTTGGTTGGGAGATTACTAGGTGGGAATGGAATGGGCAAGTAAACTTTGTTTGTTCGACAGTTTTGAAAACTTTTGCCCTCCCATTTTCATGGTTTGTTCTGGATTTCGTGGTAGGTTGTTGTCTCTCCTTTTCAATAAATTATTTTTAAAAAATGTAGTTATTTACTTTATTTTATTAACAAAATTAATTAAAATTAGTAAAAAATTTTCAATTAAATTTATAATTAATAAAACAACATTAAAAATTTATCTAAATTAATTATTCTATGGTAATAAATTAATTTATTAAAGTATATTCTAAATTTTTGCTATGAAAAATGTAATAGATGGATGACCATTTATAGAATAATGAAAATATTAATTTTATTAAACACATTTCTTTTATGATAATTATTAAAATTGATTACTAAATAAAATCAACAAATAAATTTAGATATATTGTTTATAATATATGTACTAATGAGTGCTGCTTAAATTAAAATATAATTACTTAAAATAATTTTAATATGTTAATTTAATAAATATATATTAATTAATGTAAATTAATTTTGATTAATTCTGATATGTATATATTGAAGTTTAGGTAAATAATCTTTACTATTAATTTTTCAAATGGATCATTATGCTAAATTCTCAACATAGCTAAATTGTCGATTTTAAATTTATAAGGTTAATATAAAATGATTTATAAATTTATAAAATTTATTTTTAATTAAATTTCATTAGTTATTAATCAATATTTACAATGACATAAAATGCATATTTCTAAAGTAATCACACACAATAAACATATATATATAATTTATTTTCTGACGTCTCAATCTCAGGTATCTTAATTTCAGACATATATACAACCAAACATAGTTATTTTTTATTTCAGACATCTTATTTCCAAACAACTTAATCTCAAGCAACTTAATCCAAAACATCTTAATCACATACTACTTTTTTGAAACCTTCCACCAAATGATCCCTTAATAATAAAATTCACGATATTTATACATTCTATGCAGTTTCATATCAATAAAAATGTTGTAGTTATGTAAAATAATAATTTTATATTTTAGTTTAAGAAAAAAATTATATTTTAACTAACTTTTTCTTTTTGATAAACTATTTTAACTAACTACAACTTTAATCAATTCTATTAAATAATTACCGAATGTCTCATGTGTCTTCCTTGGTGGCTTGACCTTCATTCACCAACGACCCATTCAATTTTCTGTCTCTCCCATTTTCATTAAAAATTAGACAAAGAAAAACGTCACAACATAACCCATTATTTATTACTAAATCTGCTATCTTTATATACTAATTTATTACTTTGTCGTTAATTAGGTCGTTTAGCCGCCAGATGTGATTGGTATTTTTTAGTGTTAATTAATCTCACACTAAAAAAATGTCTCCAATTTGACTAGTGGATATACACTAATTCCAAGCATCTTAATAAATAAAATGAATATGAAACATCCACGTAAAGATTTTAATCAGTATTTTTTCCTTTAAAATGTCTTTTATAATAAAGTTGGAGATTCGAATCTACAACCTTCTGGTCAGATATAAGTATTTTAATCAATTAAATTAGGTTTAGGTTGATCCCGTAAAATACTTGCCTAATTTAATTAACATAAAACTTTTAAGAAATATATATATATAAACGTTACTAAGCATATGCATAATTAATTGGCAAGTCACATATGTCTTTGATTAAAAATAAAAGAAAAAAAGATAATTAATACAAAATAATAATACGAGTGAACAGCATCAATTAATAAAAAATCCACGGAATCAAATATATGGAAGTGAACTAAAAAATCACATTAAATATTAGGATAAACGAAATTGAAAAGAGAAAATTGACCTAACATAGACTTTTTTGGGTTTGGGATCTATCTATTTTTTTCCTCATATTTCAACAATTTTGGGATATGGGGGTCCAAGCTCCAACCTCTAAGAAAGAAGTACATGCCAATTATCACTAGGCATGCACATGTTGGGCTGGAAGTATCTATCTATTCGGTTGTGTTACCTTTTTTGGTTGAATTTTCTACCCCTTGTTAACCATATTCACCTACTTAAATTTAATATTTCATGTTTTTTTAGGGAAAAAAAAGATTCATGCATGTAGAACCAGTATTAAAAAAAAAAAACGGGGGGTTGGGAGAGCTTCAAAAAATCTAGAAGGATTTGATTGAATTCACATTGAAATCACCCACCATTTCCTTTTAACTGTGTTTGGACTTTTGAATCAATTGGTTCATATGCATATTCATGTGTAAAGAAATATATATAATATGACAGGACAAATGGGTTGGTAGCTAGTTAATTAATTTGTATTTGATTAATTATTAAATCTTTGCGTCTTAATTAACATTATATACTTTTTCATGATGTATCTTTTTTCTTCTCTAATTCCAATTATTTTCACACCTAGTCTTGATTTTTATTCTTCGATTTTTCTAGCAAAAAAAAAAGCAAAATAGCAATTATGTTTTCGTTTTTCAAATATAACATTTTTTTTTCAGAAAAAGTGGAGGCCCACATATTAAATGACAACATTGCACTGCAGGCCCAAACTTAAGTCCAGAAAACCCTACGTTTCGATTTCCCTCTAATTTCCATTTGATATAAATGTGATATACTACTGATATGAGTGTGTGATATACTACTGATATGTATCTATGATATACATACGATATACTATTTATATGAGCGTCTGATATACTATTTATATGAATGTTTGATATACTATTGAAATGATTGTTTGATATACTATTGATGTAATGGTTTGATTTACATTTAATATAATGTTGATTTTAACAGAAGAATGAAATATGGTATTCTTATGCTAAAGTGCAAGAATATTCAAAATTAGAATCAATAGATAACATTCTCAAGATGCTAACACCGAAATAGAAATCTTTAGAAGTGAACCATTTGGATACTTTATGTCATTTAATATTAGAAGATGTCCACTACAGTTATTAGTACATCTAATTCGCCGAACATCTGAAAAGAGCCTACGAGATGCACTGATATTCAATCTAAATGGGAACTTTGTAAGATTTGGATTTAGGGAGTTTAGCTTGATTACATGTTTAAATTGTTTTCATGAATACCTAGTATTGACCAGATTCAGGGGTACATCAAATGTATATCAGGGGTACATTTTATGTATATCGAAGTATATCAAAGGTACATCGAATGTACATTAGATATAGATCGGATGTATATCAGATACATATATACGTCGGATGTATATCAGATATAGATTAGATGTATATCATATATATATTGTATGTATATCAGATACAGATATATATCGGATGTATATCATATATAGATATACATTGGATGTATATCAGATATCATAAGGGTAAAATTAAAATAATAAAAATTCCGAAATAAAAATTCAAATATTTTGCTATATTTGAAAATTTGAAAAACTGGTGACATTCTGTGAAACACATAAAATATTTTTGCTACCCACCACAATTACCCTTATTTTATTTTAACATAACTTTACCTACTTTCTTTTCAAAATTAATTACACAATTTTCAAACCTATTTCTCCAATTTCTAATAGCTCAATTTCACTATGATTTTCAAAAGTCGTTTTTTAGTATTAATTAAGTTATTTGTTCTTCATGTATCACGACAAAATCTTATGGCACCACACCAGTGACGGGATATACACGGTCAGATCTCTCCGATCTCTGCTTGCATCTCACTGCATCTATGATCCTTCTGAGATCTTCGCCAAATTATGGTCATTGCACCGCTTCCAATAAAATGTAAGTTTTTCATTTGGTGTATCCTTCATCGGGGCATAAATACATACGATAAATTACAATTTTGGAGAAATCTTGGATCATCTATTCCTACATTGCCCTTTTTCAGTGGTCATCTGGATTCGCTTGTTGGATATATTTAACCTATCTCTTCCTTCGCATGGATACATCGACAGCTTTTTAAAGGAGGTCTTATCTCCTCTCTTGAAAAATTGTCATAACATCCTTTGGTGTAATGCAGTGGGTTCTTTATTGTGGTCCATTTGGTTGCAAATGAACAACAAACTATTGGCTAATTTCCTCTTAGCTTCACTTTGGTCTTCCAAATCTAACCTCTTTTCTCTCAATTTGAGCGCATTTATTTAACCTCTCCTTATTTCTTCGTATGTTTCTCACATACCTTCTTGAATGAAATAGTTCGATATCTTTAAACAAAATAGTGTTAATTAAATCTAAGTTAATGAGTGATTGTTACGATTATAGTTAATCTATATTAGATTAATTATCTTAAATAAATAATTATCACCCATAGTAAAAGCACATTCATTTTAATTATTTAAATATTTGACTTATTTTCTAAAAATCCTTTATGTTTTGTATTTCTCTATTAATTAGTCAAATATTTATAGTGGTGATAAAGAACAAAATTACTCCAGGTACCCTAAATATTTTCGTTTTCTAAACGGAGTGCATCGGTTTGTTGACTGAGAGAGAGAGAAAGAGGAACGCAATCACCAAGAAAGATCGGCGTATGAAATAGAAATAGGAAATTAGAAAACACCAGGAACCAGCATTATTGGTCATGAATAAATTCAGCCCTCGTGGTTGACTTGTAAGACGGGTACAGTGATTGATGGATTTTGTCTTAATTTTTGTTTCTTTTTACGATTAGTTTCGATTTTATGTGGGTTGAGGAGTTAAATGGTTGTTTATTTATGTCGATTCAGTTTTTCAATATTTAGATGAACGAATACATGTATAATATTGCATCGATTTAGGTTTTTTTCTGTTCATTTTGTTATCTGGTGTTCTTCTTTGTTTCGTTCCCTGTTTTTTCTTCAATTTTTAATTTAGGTTGGAATTGAGGTCCTGCAGGAATTTGATTTGAAATGTTTGAGGTGGTGTGGTGGGAGGTTGAAGATGAAGAAGTATTTCGAGTAAAGTGGGATGGACCTCGAGCGAGGTTGAAGAGATCTGAAACATCGCTCAAGGTTTGGTAAGCCTCTGTCATTTTTTTCGGGTTCAACCTCAGGCAAGGTTGAACCCGAGGTAATTGAAAGAGGCTCAACCTTGAGAAACCTCACTCGAAGTTGAGCCTTTTTTAATTACCTCGGGCTCAACCTCGCCTGAGGTCGAACCCGAGAAAAATGACAGAGACGTAGAAACCTTGAAGTTGCTCAACTTTTTCTATTACCAACTGTTGACTTCGGGCGAAACCTATGAAATCTCGCCTGAGGTTCATCGTTTCTTATGAAACTCGGTCAGAAAATCATCCTTAAAAGAATCATGCTGAAATACGAAACTAAATTTAAAAATGACAACCTGTTTCAAAATAAAATGAAACAAAACAATAAAATTGCTTTTTAAATATAGTCCAATCTTAAGAAGAAATCAAAAGCAGCAAAATTAAGGGCAATGGTTGTTGTGAATTAAATAATTCCAGGACAATGGTTGTTGTGAATTAAATAATTCCAGGACGTGAATTAATATGATCCCGCCAAGATTTTTTCCAGTGATTATGTTTTATAATTAAGGAATTTTGGTCCTTTCATCTTCTCTGACACATCATTAATGTTAAGTTGACACATTTTAAGAGGAGCGAGTCGTTTGTACCTTTCAAAAACTTTTGAAGTTATTTGAGTGAATTTTACCCCATGTATATAAATTAGTTTTCAAGTTGAAAGCTCTGGAAAAAAAAATAGAAAAGAGAGGAAAAAATGGATCCAAGGGTTTTCGAGGCAGTGACAAAGAACAAGGAAAGGCGTTTCAAGAAGCTGGTGGGCAAGAATGGGAGTGAAATAGTGAAGCAGAGATCAGAAGAGACGGGCGACACGGCGCTGCACCTGGCGGTGAGGCACGGCCGCATGGAGTTTGTGAAGGAGATCCTGAGGGTGTGGCCAGAAGCTGCGGYGGTGGAGAATCTGAAGCATGAGACCCCATTCCACGAAGCTTGCAGGGAAGGAGCAGCCCAAATCTTAGAGCTGCTTCTGGAGACGAATCTATGGGCGAGTTACCATAAAMATGAGAGCCCCTTGGTGCTGGCCTGCACCCTTGGTCACGTGGATGTTGTCAAAATCCTTTTGAATCAGAGCGGGATCAACCACTCCGACTTCGACCCTGTCGCTGCTTTTCTTGACGCTGCCTATCAAGGACACCTGGGTAATAAATTTCCTAACTTTTCAACTTTTAATTTTCTGTCTGTTGTAATCTTACCAAGATTTGTTGAAAACAACTCTCCAAATTCAAGGCTCCAAATTTTCTTACGAGGAACTGATCAAAACTTTCCCAGACACGTGCTAAAGTAGATTCATATATGTTCTACTTTTTAATTTTTGGAAAAATTGTTGAAACTTTGGAAAACTGTGTTCTCCTCCCCTCCCTTCTCCGGCCTTCGCTTGAATACCCGCGAGAGGTAATGCCACTGGTCTAGAATCCTATGTTTCGACCTTGCTACAGACATGTCAAATAGATTTTTTTAAAAAAGGGAGGATGAACTCTCCATCAATAAAAAAAATTAAGAGTCTGGCGGTTTCAAATTTTATTTATGCTAATTTTTTATTTAAAATATTAATCTATGTTTGTTTAAACTGCATCTGTGAAAAATTAAAGGTAGTATTGAAACTTCCTGGACTACAAGAACAAATAACAAAATTAATTTAAGGATTCTTTTTCTTTTTTTGTAATGTTTTTATTTATTTTTCAATGTTGAACTCCTATCTTGTCAGCATGCGATGTTGTTTAAATGTGGTTGAGTGCAGGCGTGGTTAACGAAATAGTAAGGAAGTTCCCAGTGGTTAGAAAGGCGGACGGGGATGGGTTACCTGGTCTGCACAGGGCTTGTTTAAGCGGCCATTTGGACGTAGTAAGGTTTCTGTTGAGTCATGGTGATGGAATGGCTCGCAAATACACAAACTCTGGGTATACGCCGTTGCACTTGGTTGCCATCAACGGACACACCCACATTCTTCAACTGTTTCTGCAGTATAATCGTTTCTTGTTTGTGGATCGTACGCAACAGGGAGACCCAATTCTTCATCTCACCATCCGGTATAACCAGTTCAATACTTTTCTCCTCTGCGCTTAACACTTCCATGAAGATGAATCATTCATCCATTATGTCGACCGCCATGGGAATACTGTTTTACATGTTGCAGCAGAGTATGGACGAGTAAAGGTTACAAAAATCCTCACCCTTTCTCTGCTATTACATATGTTTAGTCTAGTTTCTAATTATATGTTTCTATTAGAGGAGAGAGTAAATTAAACTTGCATATCTTTATTCATAAAAGACAGGTCTATATATAGACCACCCAACTGTATACAAGCAATTACATATAAAATTAACTAATACATTATATGTAACTAACTAATCTAATAGTTTCTGATCACGTGGTTTATTTTGCCTTTTTTTGAATAAAATGTTGCAGTTTGTAAAATATTTGATCAATAAAATGAGAATGCCGATAAATCGTCAGAACACGGAAGGGCTGACACCTCTAGACATGCTCGACAACCTTGCTTCTACTAACATTAAGAAGTTCCAAATTCTTGAAGACATGTTAAAAAACGCCGGCGGAAAGAGAAAAATACAACTTACGAATTCGACTATTCCAACTAGCAACAAAGGGGAATTGGTTCAGGAATGGGTTCAATCTTTGGATCCAAATTTGTTCGAGGAGGATGGTTTGCAGAAGACTGACTTAAATCATGATGAGAAGGAAGAAGATAAGATTGACCATGAAACTTTGGGGAGCAATAATGTTATCCATGCTAAGATGAAAAAAATGATCAAGAACATAACAAAGACGGGTCTGTGGTTTCAAATACCTTGGAGAGGCAGAAGCATCTTAGCCAAAAGCGGCGGGAAGTGCTAATCAGCAAAATGGACAACTACCGTTTTCGGCTGGAAAAACAACACGATATGTATAAGGAGGCATTGCAAAATGCAAGAAACACAGTTACTTTAGTTGCAGCTTTGATTACTACAATTACGTTTTCTGCAGGCATAAGCCCCCCTGGTGGGATTCACCAAGACGGCCCACTGATTGGAAAAGCAGTATTCGGCAAAACAAAAGACTACAAGATATTCGTAACAAGCAACAGCATCGCAATGGTAAGATCTCTATGTATTATGATCATTTTAGTGAGCATCATCCCTTTCAAAAAAAGACTATTACTGCGACTTCTCAAGATTACCCATAAACTGTTGTGGGTGTCTCTAGCATTCATGGCGACGGCTTTCACATCGGCCACATGGCTCATCTTGCCTCAAGATTATAGGACACATTGGCTTCCGAATGTGATACTGGTGGTGGTGGGAGGGATTATCGGAGCACTATACATTTATTTGGGAGTAGAGTTGGTAAAGCATTGGATTAGGAAGATCAAATTCAAAAGGGAGAGAGTCGGAAAGCCAATTGTTCCGGTCGGCAGTAATTATGACCATCAATCCATAGATGATCTATCGTCTAGTAAAGCTGAGTTAGACATAGAGCGACGTGATGTAAGTAGACTCTATTCATTTTCTACTAATTCCGATGTTGCCAGTTCGAGAGGTCACGGTGGTCACGTATATTAAAGACATGTTTGTGAGTGATTTTAGAGAGAATGATTTAATCATAAATAATTTTGTTAAAATTTTAATAAAGAGTTATTTGAATATTTGGTACCGCTCTTAAAAAGTGACTTTTGATATATTAATGTTTTATTTGGAAAGTGATTTTAGAATAGTCAAGTTATTCAAAATTACCTCCCAAATAATGGTTCTTTTCTTAAAGCGATTGTTGTCCGATTATTTGATAAAAAAATTACCTCCCAAATTATTTACAGGAAATCACTTTGGAGTAATTTTAAATTTTCTTAAAATCATTTCTTCACCATTGTAAAATATCATGATTTTGAAATGGGAGTGATTTTCACCATAAATATGCCCAGAAGCTCTGCAATTCAATGGAAAATACTTTGGACCTATTTTTTAAAAAATTGATAATTTATTAATTTGAAAAAAAAATATTTTTCTATATTAGTTGTCAAATATTTTTTTAGAGGACTGATATTCTCACATAGACCTAAGACAGATTTTGATGGGTTTGTAAAGGTCCTGTTGTTTTGCTCCAGCCAAATAGCCAATTATGCCAGAGTAGAGAACCAAAAGCATTGTTTCACAGAATGTTGCTCTAATTCATAAGCGGGAGGGAGAGATTTTCACTGATGAAGAAGTAAATTTGACCTGGAAGTGCAAGGGCGAGGTTGAAAATCTTCAAGGAGGCGAGACCAGATAGTCGCTGTGAAAAGACAGTAAAGCAGAAGATGGTCCAATGATTCAGCAGCAAATTTGCAGAGAATGAACCAATTCGGGCTGATGTATAAAGATGGTAAACGAACCTGAAGCTTTTCTTATGTATTGAGAGCAAAATGGATGATGCACCAGATATAAAATTCACTTCTTTGGGAGAAGAGTTTTCCAAAGCCTAGAGAAGTGTCTGGGCGGAGAGTGGTGCAGCTGAGAGGTCGAAGGCTAGCTTTCATTGATTTTACCGAAAAGAGACCCTCGTTGGATAGAGACCAGTGAGGGGCATCAAAAGAGGGAGAAGGAAAAGCTATCGAGATATTAGACCACAGTGTAAGTTCTCTGTCTATCACGGGGCGTCCCGGACGAATATTCCAAGAGCCAGAATCCCAAGCATAAAAAACCGATAAACTCTCGCTTGCCTATAGAGCATATAAATGGGGAAAAAACTGTCTCAGAGGAGCGTGTCCAGTCCAAGTTCAGTGCCAAAAGAGAGTGTCCCTGCCATTTCCCACTCTCCACTAGAGTGCCCTAGAAAAAGAATCCTTAAATTTTATGATGTGAAACCATGGGATCTGGAGCTTCAAAATTTGCAGCGGGAGGGGAAGGGTCGAAAGCCTCTGAGGAGTATTTTACAGATATCAGAAGAGCTCATAAAGTGTCTCTTTTCTAGGAGAAAATCTTCGTAACCATTTCGTGAGTAAGGCTGTATTAGTACATCCGACATTGCCAATCTCTAAAACCTCTATGATCTTTTGAAAGGGAGACGATGTCCCAGCAAACTAGGTGTGAACTCCCTTTCCAATATCAATGCCATCCCATAAGATGTCTGTCATCATTTTTCGATTTCGATGGCTGTATTTTTTACTTGTATATACTAAACTATTAGGTTATATACTATATAATTTCATATAATTTATAACACAACAAACTGTCTACAAAATAATACCATTGATGTATGATTTAACATCACAAAATTTATAAGTAAGTTCATGTAAAACAAAACAGTAATGGAATATTATTTGTAGAGTATATGTGCATATACCTAACATAGGCCGACTAGAAATATAATATATACACTCCAAAAAAGATAAGTATCTGGAAAATTAAAAGGTCACCGAACATTTTATAGTTGCCTAAATACAGTAGATCCTCCAAAAATTAGAAATAAGCTGCTGGAAATATTGTGGGTGAAAAAAAAAAAAAAAGAAGCCGCCGGAAAAAATAAACAAATTCATATCGCGGATAAAAAAGGGAACTAAAATTTCCAGCGTAGAAGTACTAAATTAGGTGAGCAACAATAAAAAATCATGTGAAAATTGTTTGGATAAAAATTCCAGCGGGAAATCTTGATATTTCCATGAATATTTTTGTAATTAGTTGAATTATTTGGAAAATAATTGCATGGATAGAGTTTCTATATTGGTTGAATTATTTATTAAAATACAATCATTTAATCATAAACGTAAATATTTGCAAGGAAAGAGTACATTTTAAAATATAATAATAAATATAATCGGATAAATTTACTCAACCCATTAGCTTAAGATTTTGAGTGGTATCAAGATGAACATATGACCTCCCGCTCTGATACCAACTTAATAATAAATAAACCATCACTCAACTCGAAAATTTAAACTAATGGATTGGATAAATTTAATTTATTTATGAATATCTAATAGTGCATGCCGATGATTATTGGGGGTGATTTGGAGGAAAAAAGTCATTTCAAACCTAGAAATCTAGATTTTGTAAATATATAATACATTCGATATTTATGAAATATTGTTTCTCATATGACTCATTAAGTATAATTTCTCAAAATAAAATGTGGTTTTCTTTTTTTCCTGAGTTCTACGAGTATGATATCCACAATTTTTTAAGTACAACAAGGAGGGAGGAGATTTGACCAATTAAGTTATATTATTTTCATTTCTCATAATCGATGTCGTGTAGCTCAATTCTTGTGTTCGACGATAAATTATAAGAAGAGAAAACTCGAATTGATGAAAACTTGTGTTGTATTTATGTATGTGGGTGTTACAATATCTAATGTATAATCTTTGATTAATTCCGTTAAATGTAAACTTTCATTCAAGGGCTTGTGAGTTTGTTCTTGAATCAATGATGTCGATGCCTTCGGCTTGTTGCTTGTCGAAGCAGGATTTTTGAAGTCTTCAGCTTTGAGCTTGTCGAAGACTTTGTCTTGTTGATGAAGTTATTTGCTTGTTGAAGTTCTTCATGAGAAGTTTTTCAGTCGATTTGATGAAGATTTTGAAGTTTGATGGCGTCGTCAAGTATTATTGCTTGGGGAGAGAAGCCTATCGTTTTTGGAGGCTTCGCTTGACTTTAATGATTGTAGACGATTCTAAATGCTTTGAATCTTCAATTCTTCTAGTTTCTTCTCAATGCCTCAAATGAGGGGTGATCATCCCTATTTATAGAGTGTCTTATATGGGCTTGGGCCCCGTCTCTTCATAGATTTTGATCTAATTAATTGATTTCATCGGAGGGTCGTAAGAGAGACACGTGGCATAATTTGATTCATCGATTTTAAAATGAATTTAGGACACGTGTAACTTCATCATTGGTCCTAAATATAATTTTAATTTTGTAACGTGACATTTAGTAATTAGCCAAAATTTATCCTTCAACAGCTTGAGCTAAACAACACGGTGACCATAACAGGATTCAAATTTGAGACCTCAAGATGATACATCAAGGCTCCAAGCACGTTTGCCACTAAGTACCATTCCAATTAGACAAAACTAGATGGATAAATATTTACAACTTGCAAACTTAACGTAATTTGAATAAAATGTTCTAAAAATAACAATTAAGAAAAATATTTACAAATATAGCAAAATTAAAATATAAGTAAAACAATAAGCGTTATGATAAATATATAATTTCTTTTAAAAAAGAATCAATATATAGTTAAATTGATCATAACTGTTAATCATATATATAACTTAATTAGTGATTGTCATGATATAATTAATCAATATTTAGGTTAATTTTTAATTGATGTTAAATGAATGATTATCACATAAACTATTCTAAAAAAAATGATTATCACATAAAGTAAAAACACACTCATTACAATTATTTAAGTTAATCAAAGTTTTTTTAAAAATTTGTGATATCCACAATTAGTTTCTAGAAAAGAGCTATGTTTACAAATATTTTTTAAAAATATATATATAATCATTAAAATTTTGCAAGATAATATTTGCATTTAGGCAAGTATAGTATAGAGGTTTTAATTTTAAAAAAATTATCTTTTCTTAACTTTTTTACCGCATCAAGAAAAAAAGGGGTAAAAAGTGTAAAAGCAGAGGTACAAGAAAAGAGTCCACCTTTTCAACGGTAATTCTTGCTTATGCAAAAATTAATATGATGATTATGTGAACTGAATCTATGTTAATTATTTAATACATACATACAAAACAGAAAATGTCAAAATTTATTCAACATTATACCAAGTTGTACGTCCTCAACTTTCTTTTTATAAATAGGAAAATAATATCTTGTCGCTAAAAAAAAGGAAAATAATATCATGGACTTGGCTTTGGGTTATTTAAGAGAAAAAAAAAACTAATGTGAAAAGATTTGGATTTTCCCCTAAATCTCATTGTTAATAACTCTGTCAAAAACGTATTCTTATTTATAATGATCCTATTTTAATATATCAATTTCTTATTTTCATTTTTTTAATATTATTTGACTACCTAACAAAAAGGGGAAAGTAGTATAATAATGCAATTGGTCATTATATATATATTTTAATATCTTTCTCGACTTTCTTTTCTAATTTCTCGTACTTTTATATAATAAATAAATTTTGTATGAATATCTCTTTTTTTTTTCTTTTAAGTTGAATTCAACCTTGCTATGGAGCACCCCTTAATAATAAAATTCACTATATTTATACAATTCTAAGCACTTTCATATTAATAAAAATGTAGTTATGTAAAATAATAATTTTCTATTTTAACTAACTTTTTATTTTTGATAAACTATTTTAACAAACTACCACTTTAATCAATTCTATTAAATAATTACCAAACGACTCATGTGTCTTTCTTGGGTGGCTTGACCTTCATTCACCAACGACCCATTCAATTTTCTCACTCTCTCTCCCATTTTCATTAAAAATTAGACAAAGAAAAACATGACAACACATAGACCATTACTATTGATTACTAAACCTGCTATCGCTATATACTAATTTATTACTTTGTCGTTAATTAGGTCGTTTAGCCGCCAATCGATATGTGATTGATATTTGATATTCTTAATTAATCTCAAAATGTCTCCAATTTGACTAGTGGACCCAATAATTCCAAGCATTTAACATATAAAATGGCTCTTCTCGAAGGAAACATTCCCATAGAGATTTTAATTAGTATTTTTTTCCTAAAATGTTTCGAATTCACACCATTTTGGTCACAGATAGGTATTTTAAGCAATTGAATTATGTTTACATTGACTCCATAAAATACTTATAGAAAGTTGTCCAATTTAATTAATATGAAACTTTTAAAAGAGTTATATATATAACGACTAAGCATATGCATAATTAACTGGCCTAAGGCACATATGTCCCGTTTAAAAATAAAAGAAAACAAAAAAAAAGGTAACTAATACAAAATAATAATAGGAGTGAACAGCAATTAATCAAAAATCCATGGAATCAAATACATCAAAGTGAACTAAACAATCATATTAAATATTAGGATAAACGAAATTGAAAGAGAAAATTGACCTACCAAAGACTTTTTTGGGTTTGGGATCTGGTTTTTTTTTTTTTATTTCAACAATTTTGAGATATGGGAGATCGAACCTCCGATCCTAAAAAATGAAGTACATGTCAATTGCTATATTGAAAAGATCTATCTATTTGGTTGTGTTAGCCTTTTTTAGTTGAAGTTTCTACCACTTGTTTTGACCATATTTGTCTACACATTGAATTTAATATTTCATTTTTTTTTCAGAAAAAAAAAAATAATTTCATGCACGTAGAACAACCCGTATAAGAAAAAAACGTGGGTGAGCTTCAAAAAACCTAGAAGGATTTAACTCAATTCACATTGAAATCACCCACCATCTCCTTTTAACTATGTTTGGACTTTTGAATCAATTGGTTCATATGCATATTCATGTGTAAAGAACTATATATAATATGACAGTCAAATGGGTTGGTAGCTAGGTTAATTAATTTTTATTTGATTAATCATTAAATCTTTGCGTCTGAATTAACATTATATACTTGTTCATATATCTTTTTTCTTCTCTAACTTCAATTATTTTCACATCTAATCTTGAATTTTGTTTTTCATTTTTCGCTAGCCCAGAACAGAAATAGAAAATTGGAAAACATGAACCATCATTATTGGTCATGTATTCAGCCCTCGTGGGTTGACTTGTAAGACGCGTATCAATGATGGATGGAAAATAACAATAAAAGCCCACTCCCACTTTCCCAGCACAAACATAAATTTGTTGTGAATTATTAGAATTCGCCGGATCGGAAAAAATGGATCCAAGGGTTTTCCAGACAGTGACATGGAACCAGGAAAGATGTTTCAAGAAGGTGGTGGGGGAGAATGTTGAAATTCTGAAGCAGATATCAGAAGAGACGGGCGACACGGCGCTGCACTTGGCGGTGAGGCATGGCCGCGTGGAGTTTGTGAAGGAGATTCTGAGGCTGTGGCCGGAATCTGCGGCGGTGGAGAATCTGAAGAAAGAGACTCCATTCCACGAAGCTTGTAGGGAAGGAGAAGGCGAAATCTTAGTGCTGCTTCTGGAGACGAATCTATTGGCAAGTTCCCATCAAAATCAGAGCCTGTTGTTCATGGCCTGCACTATTGGTCACGTGGAAGTTGTCAAAATCCTTTTGAATTACTCCAACTTCGACCATGCAGCTGCTTTTCTTGAGGCTGCCTCTCAAGGACACCTCGGTAATAAATTTCCAAACTTTTCAACTTTTAATTTTTTGTCTAGAGAGTACATATATAATTTATAAGAAATCTGTTGAAAACAACCCTCCAAATTCAAGGCTCAACCTTGTGATTAACCAATCATATGCTTTCTTACGAGGGATTCAGCAAAACTTACCTCCGGACACAAGTGCTAAAGTTTCATCTGTTTTCTACTTTTTAGTTTCTAGAAGAATTGTTGAAACTTTGGAAAATTAAGACAAAAATTTATCTTGGCAGCATGCGTTCTTGCTGTCAGGGGTTGGAGGTAAGTTGTGGTGGGGGTGGTTTAGTCCTCATTATTGTGTAAAAAAACGTTTTCAAATTATAAGTACATTTTAGGATTTTGTCATCCACATCTCAGTGAATGTTAAATATGGGTGTTGGCAAGTGGATATCATTAAGAAAAAAATTTCTTAGAGACTAAAACATGGGCCGGGGCATGTTGGTTTTTAGTCTCTTTTGTTGTAAAACTGCAGCAAATTTAGTAAAAGGCCGTGATGGTTTGGTGCAGGCGTGGTTAAAGAAATAGTAAGCAAGTTCCCAGTGAGTGCAATGGTGGACGAGGATGGGTTATCTGGTCTGCACAGGGCTTGTTTAAGCGGCCATTGGGACGTAGTCGAGTTTCTGTTGCGTCGTGGTACTGAAATGCCTCGCAAATTCACAAACTCTGGGTATACGCCTTTGCACTTGGTAGCCATCAACGGCCGCACCCACATTCTTCAACTATTTGAGCAGCGTAGTCGTTTCTTGTTTGGGGATCGTACGCAACAGGGAGACCCAATTCTTCATCTCACCGTTCGGTATGACCAATTCCATACTTTTTTCCACTGCGCTCAACTCTTCCAAGAAGATGAATCATTCATCCATTCCGTCGACCGCCATGGGAATACTGTTTTACATGTTGCAGCACAGTGTGGAGGAGTAAAGGTTACAAAAGTCCTCACCTTTCTCTGCTATTACATATATTTAGTCTACTTTCGAATTATATGTTTCTGATCACGTGGTTTTGCCTTTTTGAATAAAATGTTGTAGTTTGTAAAGTTCTTGATCAATATGAGAATGCCAATAAATCGTCAGAACACGGAAGGGCTGACACCCCTTGACATGCTCGACAACCTTGCTGCTACTGACATTGAGAAGTTCCAAATTCTTGAAGATATGTTGAAAAATGCGGGCGGAAAGAGAAAAATAGAACTTACGAATTCTACTGTTCCAACTAGCAACAAAGGGGAATTGGTTCAGGAATGGGTTCATTCTTTGGATCCAAATTTGTTCGAGGAGGATGGTTTGCAGAAGACTGACTTAGATCATAATGAGAAGGAAGAAGATAAGATTGACCATGAAAATTTGGGGAGCAATAATGTTATCCGTGCTAACGATGAACAAGATGATCAAGAAGAGAACAAAGACGAGTATGTGGTTTCAAACAACTTGGAGAGGCAAGAGCATCTTAGCCAAAAGCGGTGGAAAGTGCTAATCAGCAAAATGGATGAGTACCATTCTCGACGGGAAAAGCAACACGATATGTATAAGGAGGCATTGCAAAATGCAAGGAACACGGTTACTTTGGTTGCAGCTTTGATTGCTACAATTACATTTTCTGTGGGCATAAACCCCCCTGGTGGGGTTCACCAAGACGGCCCACTGATTGGAAAAGCAGTATTCGCTAAAACAAAAGGCTACAAGGTATTCATAATAAGTAATACCATCGCAATGATGACATCTCTATGTATTATGATAGTTTTAGTAAGCATCATCCCTTTCAAAAAAAGACTACTGTTGCGGCTTCTTAAGATTACCCATAAACTATTGTGGGTGTCTCTAGCATTTATGACGATGGCTTTCACGTCGGCCACATGGCTCATCTTGCCTCAAGATTATAGGACACATTGGCTTCCAAATGTGATACTGGCAGTGGTGGCAGGGATTATGGGAACACTATTCATTTATTTGGGAGTAGAGTTGGTAAAACATTGGATGAGGAAGCTCAAATGGAGAAGGGAGAGAATCAGGAAACCAATTGTTCCCGTCGACAATAATTCCGACCATCAATCTACGGATGATTTATGGTCTAGTAAAGCTGAGTTAGACATAGAGCGACATGATCTAAATAGGCTCTATTCATTTTCTACTAATTCTGATGTTGCCAGTTCTAGAGGTAGGGGTGGTCATGTATACTAAAGACATATTTGTGAGTGATTTTTGAACGAATGATTTTAGTGACGGTGATTTAATTATAAATAATTTTATAAAAATTTTAACAAAATTATATTTTAATATTTGGTTCTGCCCTGTTAAAAAGTCATTTTGAATTATTAATGTTTTATTTGAAAAGTGATTTTAGAATAATCAAGTTATTCAAAATTACCTCCCAAACAACGGTTCTTTTCTTAAGCGATTGATGGCCAATTATTTGACCAAAAAATTACCTCCAAAATTATTTACAGGAAATCACTTTGGAGTAATTTTAAATTTTTTTGGAGTCATTTCTCCATAGTAAAATATGGCCAGGACCATTTTGAGATGGGAGTGATTTTCAGTGTAAACATGCTCGGAGGCTGTGAAATTAAATGAAAAATATCTAGGACCTATTTTCAGGTGGATCATCATTGAAAAATTGACAACTCCATAATTAAAAAAAAACTATATTTTTGTACTTCTCAATTAATTAACGATGATTTTCTTTTCTGTTTTTTTATGACGTTAACTATGATTAAATGTTTGACAACATTGTCAAACATTTAATCATTGTGTGCTTCTCATCATTGACGACCTAAGCTAGTATTTCATTGTGTGCTTCTCATCATTGACGGACCTAAACTAGTATTTCCTAAATTAAATTTTAGGGAATTTTGTACCTGTAATTTGTAGATAAAATAATTTGATTATTTTCATGTGCAATATATATTATCTATCTAATGAAAATCTAAAGTTGCCAATGTAAACTTTAACAATATGTAGTTGACATAGCTGAGAATTATATTCAAGTAGCAATCCAAAAAAGTCTAGGGTATTTAGATAAGGTTGGGTGCCTTATCTTGTTACTACTATTGACATGGTCCACTTTATAAAAGTTACAAATATTTTAGTCTTAATCGTTCATGTGAAGACATGTGAGTCGGAGTATCATACACAATGACTTTGTATAAGAATGCGTTGTGTTTTGTATTTTCTTATAAGACGTAGAAATTGCAAACATATCACTAGGATTATTATATGCTCATTTAATCTTAACCATAATTGTGTTGTGAACTTCTGAGTATGTATGTGTATTCTTGAATTCACATGGGTGAAGGTCAAAGTGTACGCCCAATAAACCTACTGTTTTGGGAACATATGTTCAATTGGGTAGTTGGGAACATTCTTACACGAGATATATAAAATTTACCGTCACTCAATATTGGAAAGTGAGTGTGTGTACTTCTTCTTATTGAGTGAGTATATAAGTGATTCCCTTAACGTTCTAATCAGGGCTTGGATAATAGAGTATCTGCCTTCTTGATAGCTCAAGAAAGATTAACCTATGATGAGATCATGGAAAGATAATTCATTAGTTCTCCAATGAGACTTAAGGAGCAAGAGATGAGATAATCAAGAACAAAATAGTAATTTCGTACATTTGGGACCAAGGGAAAACGACAATTTCGTCCAACTGAGACCATGAATCACTTTGTGAAGGATAATATGAGTGGTTATAATTATATTTGTGGACATACCTCATCTGCGTGAATGATAATATCAACCTTTGTCTATAGTAGAGTCAGTTTGGGTTAATGGTAAAATTAATTAATTAAAAAGTTTAATCAATCAATTGTTGACCATGGAGCTCATAACCGTAGCTCTATAAGGTCTCCTACTAACTAGCTCATTGACCTATCCGACGATAAGTTGGGAGAAAATTAAATAAGATTAATTATTTAATTTAGAATTAAAGTGTTTAATTTAGCTTAATATAACAAATTAGATTTATTATTAATTTTTTAAAAATAGATTTATTATTAATTAATGAGATATCCCAAATGAGCGAACATATTAATTAAGAAAATAAAAAATGACTATTTAATTTTCCTAATTAATTAGAGAAATAATGTCCTATGGTTTTGGTTCAAAGTCTATGTAAGGAGACTTATAAGTTGAACCCTACGGCATGCTAATACAAGTCTTTTCCTCTCCTCCCTAGTAGCCAAATGAAGAAGGTGGTGTTATTCCTCTTTCTCGAAGCACCAATTTGTTGTAGATCCAAGATAACTAGAAATATCTCATGGAATCGACCAAATCAGTCATCGTAGAATCTGTTTTTGGACATAACTTCGCGACTTTGCTTTTTGTTTCATCTTAAATGTATCAGGATAATTGTCGTATCTATATAGTATGATCACTCTCTTTCCTAACCTAACTAATGTACGACTTTTGCACAATTTACAATCTAACAAAAAATTGACAGGGCATCATTTTAAGTTATTTTTGGATTCCTTTTTTTAGTTATCATTTGTGACGAGGATACGATTGATGCTTGGTAATAGGGGTGTTTATCGGTCGGCCGGGTCGGCTTTTAGGCCGAAATCCCAACCGACCGACATGTTGTCGGTTTCTATTTATGGAAACCGACCGACCATTTAAATAATATATTACCGACCGACCGTCGGTCAGTCGATTTTTGCCCAAACCGACTTTTTTTTAAAATCAGTATGTGAACTACTGAACAGTCTTATTTCTTTTTTTTTTTTTTGCCATTCTTTCGCCAAAACCGCTGTGGGACTAGGTCGCTGCATGGCTTGGGTCGCAACGGGCGACGAAGCGTCACAGAATCACGAGCCTGTTGGGTATGAAATGAAAAGAAAGTAGAAATTCAGAAGAGAGAAGAAGAGAAAAGAGAGAGAATAGAAGAGAAATAATTGACCGTTGGACGATGGGCGACGGGACGTCACGGTGGCGAGGGCGCTGCAACTGAGGAGAGGGAGAGTGGGGGGATTCGGCGGCAGCGTGGCAGTTGCCGGTTGGGAGTGAAGGGATGTGGGGAGAGAGAGACTAGGGAGAGAGAGTGGAAAAGTTAAAAATGAAAAGAAATGAGTGGGGAGGCGGCTGGTCGGAAAAAAAACTAACCCTAATTCTATTATAATATTATATATATATATATAATATAATTTTTGTTTTTAACATATCGGTTGGTCGGTCCGTTTTAAGGGATTTTTTTGGGCCAACCGACCGACTGTCCATCTCTCAAAATCCCAAACCGACCGACCATATACCTTCAAAATCGACCGACGGACCCTATTTCGATCGGTTTCGATTGGCCAGGTAGGTTTTGCCTCTTCTAATGTTCACCCCTACTTGGTAACACCAAGTATTTTTAAAAAGGAAACCCTAAAAAAACAAACATAATTTTTTAAAGCAAAATCATGATCAGGAGCGCGTGGGTTGTTGACCGTGGGAGGGAGAGAGGATCGCGCAAACACCAAGAAAGACTGGCATATGAAATAGAAATAGAAGATTATGTAAAACAAGAACCAGCAATATTGGTTATGTATTCAGCCTCGTGGTTTGACTTGTAAGACGCGTATAATTACTGATGGAAAATAACAATAAAAGCCCACTCCCACTCCCACTCTCCCAGCATAAATTTGTTCAAGTTCAAAGTTCTGACTGCGCCGGAACCGGAGAAAAAAAGAGAAGAATGGATCCAAGGCTTTTCCAGGCAGTGACATGGAACCAGGAAAGGTGTTTCATGAAGTTGGTGGGCGAGAATGCTGAAATTTTGAAGCAGAGATCAAAAGGGACCGGGGACACGGCGCTGCACTTGGCGGTGAGGCACGGCCACGTCAAGTTTGTGAAGGAGATCCTGAGGGTGTGGCCGGAAGCTGCGGCGGTGGAGAATCTGAAGCAGGAGACTCCATTCCACGAAGCTTGTAGGGAGGGAGAAGCCCAAATCTTAATGCTGCTTCTGGAGACGAATCTATTGGCGAGTTCTCATCAAAATGAGAGTCTGTTGTTCGAGGCCTGCACCATGTGTCACGTGAAAGTTGTCAAAATCCTTTTGAATCAGCGCCAGATCCACCACTCCGACTTGGAAGTTGCAGCTGCTTTTCTTGAGGCTGCCTCTCAAGGATTCCTAGGTAATAAATTTATAAACAACTTTTCATATTTTTGTGTCTAGTAGATATATAATCTGTAAGACGTTTGTTGTAATCTAATCAAGATTTGTTGAAAACAACCCTCCAAATTCAAGCCTCAACCTTGTAATTTAACCAATCATCATATGCTTTCTTACGAGGGATTCAGCAAAACTTACCTCCGAGACAAGTGCTAAAGTTTCATCTCTTCTACTTTTCGATTTCTAGAAAAATTATTGAAACTTTGAAAATGTGTATTCTCCTTCCTTCCCTCTCTTCTGTTGAAACTCTTCAACATCTTCGTCCGTATTCCGGCGAGAGACGTCGTAATGCCACTAGTCTAGTATTGATGCCTTAGCACATCAACCGAGAATCCAACATTTCGACCTGGCTACAGAAATGTCAAATAGTTTCAAGAGAAGGAAGAATGAACTCTCCGTCAATAAAGAATTTGTCAAGTTGTTTTAGATTTTATTAAGTCAATTGTTCATATTTTTATAAACACCTATCAAGTCGGTTGTTCATATTTTTATATACACCAGTTGAAAGGTAATATTGAAACTTAAAAAAAAAATGAGAAAATTAATTTAAGGAAATTTTTTGGGTGAATTTAAAAAATAATGCTATTTAAAAGACAAATTAAAAAAATAATGTAGATTTGAAAATAAAATCAAAAGAAATATAAATTAAATAAGAAATTTTAAAATTGAGGTAGGTTTTAAAATTAACAAAAAAAAAAAGTGTGTAGATTTAGTCAAAGTCAAAATAACTGTCACATCATATAGCAATAGACTGCGTTCTACACGATTTCCACATAGAAAATCGCACGCAGCCTACTCGATTCCAAGAAATTGAGTTTACAAATTTTATTTTATTTTTGTAATTTATTTGTTTATTTTTAGATGTTGACTCCTATCTTGGGAGCATGCGAGGGGTAGGAGTTAAATTTTGGTGTGGCTGATTTAGTCCTCATTATGATATAAACAAGGTTTTCTATTAACTATTGTAATTACATTTTAACATTTTGTCATCCACATCTCAGTGAATGTAGAATAAAAAATTTCTTAGAGATTAAAACATGGGCTGGGGCATGTTGTTTTAGGCTCTTTTGTTGTTAAAGTGCAGCAAATTTAGTAAAAGGTGATGGTTTGGTGCAGGCGTGGTTAAAGAAATATCAAGAAAGTTCTCAGTGGGTGCAATGGTGGACGAGGATGGCTTATCTGGTCTGCACAGGGCTTGTTTAAACGGCCATTTGGACGTAGTAAGGTTTCTGTTGAATCGTGGTGATGGAATGCCTCGCAAATACACAAACTCTGGGTATACGCCCTTGCACTTGGTTGCCATCAACGGACACACCCACATTCTTCAACTATTTGAGCAGCATAGTCGTTTCTTGTTTGGGGATCGTACGCAACATGGAGACCCAATTCTTCATCTCACCATTCAGTATAACCACTTCAATACTTTTTTCCACTGCGCTCAACTCTTCAATGAAGATGAATCATTCATCCATTCTGTTGACCGCCATGGGAATACTGTTTTACATGTTGCAGTACAGTGTGCACAAGTAAAGGTTACAAAAATCCTCACCTTTCTCTGCTATTATTTATACTGAGTCTAATTTCTAATATGTACTTTCTGACGTGGTTTTAATTTGGCATTTTTGAATAAAATGTTGCAGTTTGTAAAATACTTGATCAATAAAATGAGAATGCCGATAAATTGTCGGAACACGGAAGGGCTGACACCCCTTGACATGCTCTTTGCTGCTAGTAGGTGTCCTTTTAGTTTCCCAATTCTTGAAGACATGTTAAAGAACGCTGGCGGAAAGAGAGAAATAGAATTGATGGATTCGACTATTCCAAATAGCGAAAAGGGGGAATTGATTGAGGAATGGGTTCATTCTTTGGATTCAAATTTGTTCGAGGAGGATGGTTTGCAGAAGATTGACAATGAAAATTTGGGGAGCAATAATGTTATCCATGCTAACGACAAACAAGCTGATCAAGAAGAGAACAAAAATTGGTCTATGGTTCCGTACAACTTGGAGAGGCAAAAGCATCTTAGCCAAAAGCGGCGGGAAGTGCTAATCAGCAAAATGGATACCTACCGTTCTCGAAGGGAAAAGCAACACGATATGCATAAGGAGGCACTGCAAAATGCAAGAAACACAGTTACTTTAGTTGCAGCTTTAATTGCTACAATTACGTTTTCTGCAAGCATAAACCCCCCTGGTGGGGTTCACCAAGATGGACCACTGATTGGAAAAGCAATATTTGCCAAAACAAAAGGTTACAAGATATTTATCACAAGCAACAGCATCGCAATGGGTACATCTCTATGTATTATGATTCTTTTAGTGAGCATAATCCCTTTCAAAAAAAGACTACTGTTGCGGCTTCTTAAGATTACTCATAAACTGTTGTGGGTGTCTCTAGCGTTCATGGCGACAACTTTCACGTCAGCCACGTGGCTCACTTTACCTCAAGATTATAGGACACATTGGCTTCCCAATGTGATACTAGCAATGGTGGGTGGGATTATGGGAACACTATTCATTTATTTGGGAGTAGAGTTGGTAAAGCATTGAATGAGGAAGCTCAAGTGGAGAAGGGAGAGAGTTAGGAAGCGAATTGTTCCGGTCGGCAGTAATTCTGACTATCAATCCACATATGATCTATCGTCTATTAAAGCTAAGTTAGACACAGAACGACGTGATCTAAGTAGGCTCTATTCATTTTCTACTAATTCCGATGTTGCCAGCTCCAGAGGTCAAGGTGGTCACGTATATTAAAAACATGTACTTTGTGAGTGATTTATGAACCAGTGATTTTAGCGAGAGTGATTTAATTATAAATAGTTTTGTAAAAATTTTAATAAAAAGTTATTTTAATATTTATTATTTTTAATTTTCTTGAAGTCATTTCTTCACCGTTGTAAAATATCACCATTTTGAAATGGAAGCGATTTTCTTCCTAAACGTGATCTAAAAGTGTGATTTTCACCATAAAATAATTTATAGGAAAAGACCATTTACTATGGAGCAAAGCAAGGGATTGAGTTGCAAACGTTTCGAATTAAATAAGAATAAACCCGCGTTGAAAACGCCTTCTTAATTACGAAGAAATCATCTTTATATTGGTTTCGCTCTTGTGTTAGTATGAATATGAATTAGATTCTATTTGTCTTCTTTATTCTCGTCTGAACCGGGTTGTTGGCGTGTTGAAACAACATATAACATACCCTAAAATTGCTATAAAAACTAAGTGTCGGGGTGATTTAACCTTCCTCTCCCCTTTGCACTTCTCCCTTCCGGCGAACCTCGTCGGCGCCATCTTTCCCCTACAGGCGGAATTATTGGTGAAAACTGAAAATAAAAGGTACCATATATCCCATTCAAAATTCCCGCAATTGAATTAAAATTTTAAAAGTTCAAAAAAAGAAGAAGAGCAACTCCTCGAATGAAATCGCACAACGAAGAGGATAAAGGAAAAATCAAAGATGCAGGAACAAAATTCCTTTTAATATCATCCTTAAAAAGGGATCCGATTGGATTTAACTTTTAATATATGATAAATTAGAAGGTTAAATTAAATTCCATTACATATCGTTGTATTAAAAATCAATTCTATACAAAGAAACGAAATTTGGGGAAGAGACTAAAAGAACCAATCCAATCAAAAAAAAAAAAAACAAATAGATCTCAATCCATCTCTTAATATTGGTAATTTTAGTTAGGAATGATGTTTAAATTTAAAAAGTATTTTATTTTTAAATTCTTTAATTTTTAAAAGAAGTATATTGATAAGTGGCTACCATGTCGTGGAAATAAAAATAATAATAAAATAATTAAAATAAAAAAGAAAATTCACCGTCGGGATCTTTTCTCGTTCTCGCTCTCTTCCGCTTTCTTGCTACCACTCGTTCTCGCTCTCTCCGTACTTCTCGCTCTCTCGTCACTTCTTGCTCTTGCTCCCAGCTTTCCCACTTTTTCTTACTGTTTCTCGCTTTTGCTCCCCGCTCTCTCACTTTCTCTTACTGTTTCTCGCGCTCTCCTTCCTCACTCTCCCACTTTCTCTTGCTAACTCTATTTCTCGTTCACCCTCTCTATTTCTCCTCACCTTCTAGAAGAAAAATACTGATGAGACACGATGTAATGGGAGGCGAAATTGTTATTTTGTGTCAAATGGGAGATGGTTGGGGTTGTGCATACAAAATAAAAATAAATAAATAAATAAATAAAAAGAGGAAAGAAAGCTATTGGGCCATGAAGGCCCAACATTATTTGTTACCCTAGTTTTAGCACATATATATATGTGTGTTATTATGGTGTAGCCGTGAGGAGCAGCCAAGTTTGAGAAGCTGATTTTGGAGTTTTTGGCAGCAATTTGTGGGGGCGGCTCGGGATTGGTAAAGACTTTGGGGCAGATCAAGATCGACATTATTGGTATTTGTATCTTGATTATTGTGAGTTTTTATTCATGTTCCTGAAAATACTTAAAAGTTAGAGGGCTTTTGTTGGGACCTCTAGGGAATATTTTTTAGGAGTCTTATTGTATCCAATCATAAAATTATTAGTGAATTACCACATTTGATTGGAAGATTGGACGTAATCCTTAGTTGTGAACCAGTATAAATTCTTCTATCATTTACTTGTGTTTTACTATTTTTCTTCCTATTTGCATATTCTTGGTTGTGTTGGATATTTTTTGTAGAAGGGGACTGTCAATTTCTCAACAAATACAGGTAAGGAATTTTCTCTCTCATCCTAACTAGTTTGAACGAGATAGATATGAGTGTGGTTTAACTTTGGTCTGTAGCCGAGAGGGCGAAGTCGATCGTGGGTGAAGACACCACTAGGTAGAATAGCCACAAGCAAAGGATCGCCACTACCTCGAACTCGAACTGTCGCTTGTCACCTACAAAAGAGTGGAAGAAATTTTTTTGCAAGGAATTGATATTGAAAAACAGGAGAGGAGAGAGGGAGAGAGAAGAACATGAAATTTTCAAAGAGAGGGAGAGAGAAGAACATGAAATTTTCAAAGAGAGGGAGAGGGAAAACCATCATGGTGGCTCATTAGTCCAAAAAGGGTAAGGTAAAGTGAGATGAAATGAGCTCAAATTACATAATGGCTACCCACGGTAAAAATCTTATATTTTGAAAAGTTGGGCGAAACCTATTGCAAAATGGGTCATTCTCCTCGATTTTCCTATTTAAGGCGAATATTTTTATTTATTATTAAACTTTTATATTTAATAAATTATTCAACAAATATAGGAAGGTTTAAATTTCATTATTCTCGTTAATTTGGCTCTTAATTATCAAAATCCTTAAAACTATTCACTACATTTTGTTTTCATTTTTCACTAAAGCTCACGATTTCACCTGTTTCAATATCATTTAATTCTTCATTTCTTATGGCTGCAACCTTCACGCAAAGGACGACGATTTACGTTCTCAAACATTTTAGTGACTTTATTTCACTATCTGACGGCTATTTCAAGTACTTTTCTGACGACTCATCCTTTTTCTAGTAGCTTATTTGTATTTTAACACATTAATTCTTCTGCTTATATACTAAACTATTAAGTTATATCATACATACCTTTTATTATAAAGTATGTACACCACATACTCAAAATATACTCCATATTAGTAACTTCATATCATTTATAGTAATATTATAAGCTGTCTACAAAATAATACCATTATTGTATGTTTTAACATTATAAAATTTATGCACTATATATCAAAAATATACTTCATATAATTAAGTAACTTCATGTAAAACAAAATAATAATAATGAAATATTATTTCTAGAAGTATATACTGTATATACCTAACATAGATCGACTAGAAATATAATACAGCTCGCTTGAAGAAAACTCTTATTATCGGTAAACCGCTGAAATTTTCAGCCGCCTGAATGACAGTGTATCACCAAAAAAGATAAGTCACGGAAAACTAATAGGTCACCGAAAATTTTAAGAGTTTCCTAAAGGCAGTAAATCATCCTCCAAAAATTAGAAAAAGGATGCTGGAAAAATATCTTGGATGTCGGGAAGACGAGAAAAAAAGAAAGAAAAAACTTGGCGGAAAAAGTAAACTAAACTTGATATCGCCGGAAAGAAAGATTCTTTCAAAAACGGTGTTTGATTAATCATTTAGGCCAATTTGATACTCATATTAGTTTTTTGTTTTCAAAAAGTTAGAAAATTGAAAATACATATCAGAGAGAGAAAATTTTATATAGAGTAGAGATGGTGTGGATGCGAGTGAGGATGCTCTCCCCCATTATCGGACTCGTGCAAATTTTTAGTCTCCGTCTCCACCTGGTTCTTGGGCCCGAGAGATGTTCTCGAGAAAAATTATCAATTTTATAATTGTTTTTAATTATTTTTAGAATTTAAATATAAAAAAGTGTAATAAATATATATTAATTATTTAAAAAATGGAATCGGGGAGGGAATGAGGTCGGAACATGCATTTTCTATTTTGTTTTTTGAAATAAATATAGAAAAAAAGTTGAGTATTAGAGGAAGAAATGAGATTTTTAAAAACAAAAACCTGTTTTTTGAAAACTATAGAATTTCAAAATAGTCTTTGAAAACAAAAAACAGAAAACTGAATTGGTTATCAAACAATCTCGTTTTTTAAAAACTAAAAACCAAAAACTAAAAACCATAAACGAAATGGTTATCAAAAGGGCCTCAATTGTCTGTCTTTTGTTTTTTGAAATTTTATATAAATTAAAAAAAATAGCTATTTTTAAAAACAGATTTCCATTTTTTAAAATCTAATACCAATTTTAATTTTCTTTTTCATATTTATCTCTAAAAAATTACATTCTTATCCAAAAATTTTTTACTTTCTAAATTTTTCTCAAAAAAATTTATTTATCTCTTTAAAATTTTAATATTTTTAATATTTATTATTATTTTTCTCTCTCTTTCCAATTTTTTTTAAGTTTTAATTTTTTTTTCTAACCAATCATTTTCATTTTCTCTCTCTAAAAATTTAATATTTTTCGAACTTTTTTACCTCTACAATTTCGTCTTTTATATTTTTCTTTCTCTTCTTAATCTATTTTTCGTTCAATTGTTTTCACGATAACTTTTAAATATCTCTATATTTATTTATTTTCTCTGAAAATTATATTTCGGAACTTGTTTTTATCTCTGAAGTTTTTTCCACTCTAATTTTTCTTCTTTCTTTCTAATTTCTTTTTTTAAAATATATTTTCCTCTTGGTTTTACCTTTTTTTTCCTTTAAAATTTTTCTTTTTTTGTCTTTTTAACTTTTGTTTCACTATTTTTTTAAATCTTTTTATTTATCTTTCTAAAATTTATTTGTTTACATTTCTCTAAACTTATATTTTCACTTTATGGATGACAAAATTTTTTGCAAGGTTGGGCCCCAGAAATAGAAAATGCATATCAGGACCCATCGTCGATTCTATTTTTTAAATAATTAATATATATTTATTACACTCTTTTATTTTTTAAATTCTAAAAATAATTAAAAACAATTATGAAACCGATAATTTTTTGCGAGGACATCTCTCAAATCGAAGAACGGAGACGGGAGATTAAAAAAATTTCACGAGCAGGACAATGGAGAGAGCATCCTCCATTGCACTCACACCATTGCCATCTTACTCCACATAGAGTTTTCTCATTTTCAATTTTCTAACGTTTAAAAAATAGAAAACTAAAACTAGTTATTTGGTTTTCTGTTTTTATATTAAACAAAAAGTAAAAACTAAAAATAGAAAAACCTGAAACGAGAAAGGTTGTAAACGGGCCGTAACTTTCTGGCCGA